TGCTGGAATTGTCACTGTGACTAGTTCGTAAAATCTAGTGTCATTCCGTATGTCATCTTTGGTAGTCAGCTTGTGCCACGCCAAACTCAGCATATATGTCTAATATCTGAGTTTATCTTGGTTCGTTGTTTCACCGTCGGCAGCGTTCCCTCTCGTGAACTGCTGAGTTTCCAGCACATAGTGCATTAATCTAAGTAACCTATTGCTACATAATATTATCACATATTCCTACTGAGTATATGTGTACCCGTTTCGCGTGGAATGATAACCTATTCCGCAACTACTGGAGGTTTCAAATTCCTGAAATTCTGCCCGCTATACCCAAATGAACGCGTCAGCCCACAACGAGATCTGTGGTTGACCGTTTAGTCGGTCCAATTTAATTTGAAAAGATAACACATATAACATATTAATTTTGCTAACGCTTCCATCATCCGATGCGCCTGTTCGCTTGCAAGCGGGAAGGAACCCGCTTCAAGATGGAAGGAACCCTAGCGGAAACGTGGACGCGGTTGACATCCGCGTTTCCGCTAGAGTTGAAAGTGCATTGCAAGATGATCAGAACTAGTTTGTTGTGCGTATATGATATGTGCAATGTGCATATGAAGTGCAATATGCATCCCTGCTGAGCGTGAGTCGAGATGGCTGGCTTGAAACACGTAGCGGTTGACCTACGCGTTTCCGCACATCCGCGTTCCCGCTAGGGGTTGCAGTGCAATGTCATATGCTCCGATTTGGTTTCTTATGTGTATATGATATGCGTGATATGTACATGTTGTGCAGTATGCGTCCCTGCTGGGCGTGAGTCGAGATGGCTGGCTCGACTCACGCCCATTACTCCCCTTCACAATAACCGTCCAGCGTCCCGATTCCTGGACGGATCTTGCGCGCGCAAGGAATATGTGCTGGACTTTAGGTTCAGGGTTATTATTATGGGCTCTGATAGCCCCTAGCCTGACCTGTCTCTTATCGGAACCGTGACTCCGCTAGTAGCTAGGATGACAGTACAGTACTACTGTACTGTCAGTCATTCGTTACTTCGTATTATCCGGGTTTCCGAGATGCATGATAAAAGCACTCGGCCGGACTGTTTATGGGAGCTTAGCCAGTTTGTTTTACCGAGCGGAACACCTGTTCTCGCAGGTTATGCGCGTCACCACTTTCCCGGTAGTTCTGATGGCACAGCGCCAAGCTATTGCCATGATTGGCTAAGTTTTGACACAGAGATGGGGTGGGCGCCCCCTTAGACAGTGGCTTTCTCTCCGCAGTATGGCCTCCTTTTGAAGTGGAGATCAGTTTTTTTTTTGGCACTTATTTGGCAGCGGAATCGTCGCTGGGTATGGTTATGTTTTACGTTCCGTTTGATCAGCGGGCAGGACACTCCGCGTTTTGTGGGTCGCTCCCACGATTAGCCACTCGGCTCATGACCTGCCTGATTGTGTTATTGTTTACTGAGACTCCTGCGGGGATTGGCCGCTGCGGAATTATCCACTACTGTCGCACCGCTAGCCCGCGTTCCCATCTCACCGTCATTTTTATAATGGATACGCCACACAAGCCACGTACTCGCGCTAGAGCGCGTAAGTTAGCAACAATTTTCGATGATGTTGGTGCCTTGAACGCAGCCACGCCCACTACTCCACATTTGGATTCGGCTGCGTCGGAGGCTTCGACTGCGGCTGCCACTCTCGTGCACCGGTTGCGCAGAGATTCGTTCGACGTTCAGAGTTCAAAAACCGCAGCAACAAAAGTACTGGGCGACAAGGTCGCAAAATTCCGTGGGGACGAAACATCGGCTTCGGACATTTTTTCTCAATTGGTATCCGAGCTTCAGCAACTCTTCACATTGCAGTCGGCGGCATTCGCACCCCTGTTTGACCTGACTGCTGCTGACACCCCTGTTCTGCCTGCTGCAAATGAACTTCTGTACTCTGTGCTGCTGCTGCTGACTGCGCCAGGGTCTCCTGCCCGTAATTGGGTGGAGGCTTCTGGTGCGGATGTTCCTGCTGATGGCAAGCGCGCCACCCTGGAGGTGGTGCGTATGCTTGCTGACGCGTCGACTCCGTTCGACGCTCTGACTGAGCTGCTTGATTGAAGTGAGGATTTCTGACGAATATGGCCCTGATGCGGGGATTCGCCTCTTCAACAGCTGCCTTCGGGATGCACAGCGTCTGACGACGCTGCCCGAAGACGCTGTTAAAAGGCAATTCCTCTCTGCCCTGTCTGGACCGGCTTACGCCACGCTGGTTGACTCGTTTGCTCGAGCTGACCAGCGTGCGGCTGTGAGTCTGCTCACCCTGCAGGCACGCGTGCGCGAGCAGTACCGCTGCGGGCGGCTCTCGGGCAAGCGCACTGCAGGGCGCCCCATGTCTGTCGCATCTTGCACCACTGACACTGGCCTGGCTTCGGCCATTGATCGGCTCAGTGCTCAGTTGGTCAAGTTGCAGCGGGATGTGGACTCCCTTAAGAGGGGTGGCTCCAAGCCGCCCCCTGGGAAGCACACTCCGCGCAACTTCCACCGCCCTGGAGTGCAACCGCTTGCTCGCTCCGCCTCTCCGGAGGTGGCTTTTGACAAGCGGTCTGGCACCTTTGTCCCAACGTGCAGGCACGAGAAGTGCCGCGCCGTTGGGTCAAAGCATTGGCTGAGTGAGTGTCCTCACAAGGACACTCACCCATTGTCCATCTCGGCATCCTACTGCCAAGCCGTCGAGTCTTATGACTCCGACGTGCTTGCCCTTCGTTTTCAGCGGTACTATGACGCTGGGGATGAGGGGTCCATGGAGCACTTGTGTGCTCTCGTGGGGCAACCTGAAATCTGTGAACTGTCTGCGCATTCCTTTGCTCCAGAGCCTACGGCTCTGCAGCAGTTCAAGGATGCTGCTGCCTCTGCTGAGTCTGCACCTGCTGAGCATCTTTCCATTGGCCGTGTTGCATTTGCTGAGGTCAGCGGTCCGCTTGCTGGTGGTGTCGCTGAGCCGACCACTGACAAGCAGCTGCTGCCGAAGGCCTCTGCACCCGTGCATGGTGAGCCGGTTGGCTTGCATGAGGTCAGCCGTGCCGCCTTTGTGCCGCCGTCTGCCTCTCTGGCTCTCGGCCCGATGGCTCCTGCTGACAATTCATTCAAAACATTCAACACTGTCCACCCTGACTGGTTTGACATTGACCCTGAGCCTGTTGAGGTGTGTGATTCCGATGATGATGGGGAGGGCTCCGACTACCCTCCTGGTGTCTGCCTGACTGAAATTGAGGGGGGTGCACCGCCGACGGCTGCGGCATTTCGGCGGTTCGGAGTCCCCAGAGGCTCCAGGCCATTTGGCATCGGAGAATTTGCACTCACTCTTTTCATGGTAGCTACGTTTCTGTTCAGTGCTACGGCGATGCCGACCCTCGTGGTCGGCGGTGGTGTCAGGGGCCTGGTTGAGCCCGGAGCCACCTACGGCTACGGTACGGTTCATCCCGGTGATGCATTACTGGATTCTCTTTGCCTGCCTGTGATTACTGCTGATTCGTCATTGCCGCCGCGGGATGTGGCACAGTTCTTTTCTCAATCGACCTCAGCGGCTTTGCAATCTGATGTTTTTGCCACTCCACTCTGGGATCCGCCTGACCCACTTGGGTCTGGTGGTGTCAACATTTATGGTGTCTCGTCTCAACTTACTTCGGATGTTTTCCTGCCTTGGAATCCGTCAGCTGAACTCGGCTATGCCGACCGGCTTTACAGTGGCTAGAGTCTGCTTATTTCAAATCCTGGAGGTGTGATTAGCCTTAGCCGCAGTGGTGGGTTGTGCCGGGACAAGTCCCCGGGCACCCAGCTAAAAGTATATCTGTTTCCAGTGAAGTGCTGTTTGTTATCTGTTTAGTTAGCTCCGCTTGCCTAGCCCTATTAGCTACGGTCACAGCTCCGGGTGGTGTGCTGGACTTTAGGTTCAGGGTTATTATTATGGGCTCTGATAGCCCCTAGCCTGACCTGTCTTTGATCGGAACCGTGACTCCGCTAGTAGCTAGGATGACAGTACAGTACTACTGTACTGTCAGTCATTACTTCGTATTATCCGGGTTTCCGAGATGCATGATAAAAGCACTCGGCCGGACTGTTTATGGGAGCTTAGCCAGTTTGTTTTACCAAGCGGAACACCTGTTCTCGCAATATGTGGTTCCTGATACACGTAATACATGATATGCAAAGTTTTATTGTGTTCGGCATACGGTTGTCTACCGAACACAACAACGGTTGCAGCATGACTCTTACGGGTTCACGGTCTAGCAGTGAACCAGGGAAATGCAGCACTGGAGTGCAAGCATATTCTGTTTCTTCCCGTGGACGCGTGAAGGGGGCGACTACGACTGATCGATGATGATGACGCGGAATGCGATTACGCATTTTTTAAGTAGAAACGCATGATATGTGGAGTGACACACCACGTGGACCAAGGCCCGGTATCGATAACACGATAAGTCCGATTAATCGATTAATCAGATTTATCGTTATCGATCGATAAGTTCAAACGACTTATCAAAAATATCATTATCAATCGATAAGTTCGAATGACTTATCAATATCAATCGATTAGTTCAAACACGCTTTTGCAATCGATTAATCGATATGTCGCGTGCGTGGTACATAACGATAATTGTGCACCGCTGTACAGGGCGCGCATTGTTTGGAATCCTGATATATCATGATATTTCATGATATATCGATCAAGGCGTGGTATCGGTTGTACCGATATTCCGATAAATCGATATATCGGAATATCGTTATCGATCGAAAACAAAAATTGAATTATCGAAATTATCATTATCGATCGATAACTGACATAAATAAATCGGAATCGATCGATACCTACACTTGACATATCGGAATTGATCGATAACAACTTTCGTTTAATCGAAATCGATCGATAACAACTTTGCGTTCTAGATATCGATATCGAAATCCGCATATCGATATCGAAACCAGAAAAGAGGCTACATATACGGGTATGGGTGAAGACGTGGCATGCATCGATCATACCACGGTGAATATACCCGTTCCCATCAGCACACGGAAGTCAAGCACCGTTGGGCGGGATTAGTACTCTGGTCGGGGACGAACGACAGGGGAACCCCTTGTGTCGATGTGTATATTTTGCTCTTTATACACAGTCCTGTGATTTGAGGTGTGTAACTTATTTGCCAGTCTGACTCACTTGCTAGTCGGTGGTCGTATATCGATCGATTATCGATATTATCGATATCGATTGAAAATTGTTCAATATCAGTATTGATCGATAAGACGATGACTCGCTACGAATTATCGAACGATCGATCGATATGCATTTGGTGTCTATTTTCTCATATCGGCATTGATCGGTAGAAGTTTAATATCGATCGATACCGTAGGCCTTTAAAAAAGATTATCGTTATCGATCGATATGAAAGTGAAAATTATCGTTATCGATCGATCACCTCCGGCCCAACCGATACCACGCCCTGATATCGATCCAACCAATGAACTCTTGGATATCGGCAATCCTAAGATCAAAGATGGGAGCGCAACCTACACTTGGCCTTCGTATAGACGATGCATATAGGGGGTAAAATCAGAGGGACCACTAGTTCCGCAGCCGCATTTCTTAAATCGATGGGTCGTGGTCGTGGAAAAGGGCCTAAGCGCCAGAAAACCGACGAGGCCGTGTTGCTCGCACAAGGAAAGGGGCCCGTGAAGAGGACGCAGAAGAACACTTTCGACTGCCACGGTAGCGACGACGTTGATGCTGATATCATGAAATGGTGGTTGGAGCACAAGGAGAAGTTGCCAAACATGTTTAGGATGGCACGCCAAAATTTAGCTCCCCCTACTAGTCCAGCTGGGGTAGAACGCACATTTAGTGCATGTGGGCAGATGCATTCAGATTTATGCAAGAATGTGAGTGAAGGGACCCTAGAACATAGTTTAATGGCCTCTATTAATACCTTGTAAACTAATTTGTTCTCAGATGTGTTATCGATAGGTATCAGGTGCACTATCGATAGTTATCGTGATTAATCGGGCTGGCTTTTGTTATTCATATCAATCGATAAGTTCGAATGACTTATCAATATCAATCGATAAGTTGGAATGACTTATCAATATCAATCGATTAGTTCGAATGACTTATTCATTGTTATTCGATTAGTTCAAAAAATCGCGATACCGGGCCTTGACGTGGACTGGGTACACAAGTAAAATAGAGTGAACACACAAAACTTACGGAGTTTACACACTTATCCCCGATATAAAGTCTAAAATCCGAAGTGTGGTCGTTCCATAATTTCATTAGTCGTTATTTCATTACAAACGGCGCGTGAGCGCATGCGCGAACATAGTTTGCCTTAGGTTGCTCGTCGTTAGGTGGTGGCGAAGGCAATGGCGATGGCGTGGATGACGTCGGCGTTGGCATTGGCGCTTGCGATGGAGTTTGCGTTGCTGTATTTTCCTTTGGCGTTCCGTCGGATCAACTGCCGCTCATTACGATTCAAACTTTGTCGAAGCTGATTGACCACCTCCGTGCGTTTTCCTCCGGGACACGTAACAAATAAACAAAGAAGCGAACGGAGCTGATGACAAGCGTGCCCCGCATATTCAAATGCACAAGAAACGACGAGTACCGAGCCTTCATCTATACGCATCCGCCGGTCACGACCGCATTTGAGGGATCGCTTATCGAAGTGCCCATATATATCACTCCCCAGACATTTGCTTATCCTCTATCAATAATTGTCGATTCAAATGACAATGAAAATGGAATTGCTCGCATCCTTACGACTGCAAGGTATCATGTAAATCAGCGCACTTCACCCAAGTTATTTCAAGAATTTAAGAGTTTAGGTATGCTTTCCATAAAAGAAAGAATAGGAGCCTTATGATATTAAGGCTTTGCTAGTGGAGATCGAGGGCAAGCATGCTATGAAAACACACCCCATGACTATCACTCACCAATACATTTGTTACGGTGGTTGCAAGGCTCCTTATCTGAAACCTTTGAAGGTTGGGATGCACGACTTCATAATGGTCATACACCCATTTGCGGGAGAAACTTGTCTGAAACTTTGTGATCTTCAGGCTGCGGAACCGCCTCATAAACCTGCAAAGCAAACTTCAACTTATCATAGTGAGCGTTTTTCAAGCTATATGTCACATAGAACAAGGAGGTACTTACCACGTTTGTGACCGCACGCCTCTGATTGTTTGTCCCTTCTCCGCGCAATCCGATGAACCATCTACATTTTACACACCCACAATATAACACAAAAGGTGGTAAGGAAGTGAGCTATTGCAACTGCGAAAGAAATTCGACATCGAACTAGAATGTGCATTTCAAAAGTTGGAGCACACATTCATTGCGACAACACGTCGAAAAAGATTTTGTGGAAAGTAGAGAACACCAAGAGTGTGGTTTCCACACGATGTAGGGTTCACTATTTGACACGCATAATCGTGACTTTAAAATCCTAAACGGCAACCTCATTTGGGACTCGTGGAGTCTCATATGCAACTTATTTAAAAACGTCCAAGAAAAGTAAGGAAAGGGTAAGGACAGATGCATACATTCGTGAGTTGTCACCGTTGAATGAAGATGGTACGTGAAGTGTCAGATTTGCCACTCCTTGGAATTTCGTGAAACGCGTCTGCATGTGGTGGCGAGCAAATCACAACCGGTGAGAAGGACGTGTAGAGTTTTGAACGTGCATACTCAGAAGACGAATGGTTCTCTCTAAGGGACCGCGGATTCGGGTGCGACCTGATATTCAAGCTCTCCTCGAGGATTCTCGGCCAGATCCCACTCCTACACACCAAATATTAAAACTTAAATTTTCAAATTTTGCTTCAAACAACGGCATCGTAAGCACACGGAGGTCCAACGGAAATTAGAGAAGAAGTACAACTAAACACAAGATCGCCACTCGTTTCTTTAAGACCGCTACGAAGATACTTCGAAGGCAGAAACTAGGATAAAGCTTTTAACCTGTAAGGCTGGCAGGTCGTTTACGACAGAAAAGTCAAGGTCCTCGCGATTGGTAAACGCACGCAGCTTGTCAGGGCTTGAACCGTCATCTCCACCTATGAGCATTATGCTCTTGATCTGCGACAAAGCAGTTTTTGGTATTGGCACAATTGCTAAGATGTTCAAGTCTTATGTATCACCAACAGGAGTGCTCCCCACATTCGCTCCGAGGGCCCCAGAGGGCTCTCAGAACCAGGAAATACAACGCATAGCAAAATCATATGTAAGCACAACTGTAACGTTGAACCTTAGGCTCAGCATGGGTGGCATAGTGACCTTAACATCACTTGTGAACGGAATGAAGAGAAGGAGCTCTGGGTCGTCTTCATCACTATCGAGCGGTTCCACCCCTTCACGAACCGTGCGTTGTTCCCATGGACGGAAAACATTTTCAGCGGCCTCAGGATTCGACGCATTCAATACACGAATCTGCAGCACGCCGGTCTCAGTACATAATGAAATAATAGCCGTGTTTAACTGAATCAGTACTGGCATAATGTTGGGCAGTGGGTACCTTCGGATGATCTATGAAATTATGCAACGAAGAACCTCCACAGTCAAAGTCGCCACAGTCGTGGTCATGGGAACAGCAACCACCTCCTTGCATCTGGTGATGAGGTAAAGTGAATGCAAAATGAAGTGGTACTATATCGCATATATTTGCGTGCGCGCGTGTGTAATATTATGGCAGCACAGTACCTTACAAGTAGTGAGAGCAAGTTTGTAGTTTCACGATTTCCTCTCGAATGCAGTCGAGTTACTCTTACAAGCCAAAGTCTAAGTGCTCGACGTCATCTTCAAAACATTATCATAGGTGTGATCCTAGGAACTAGCAGGCTGCAGGCGAGGGGTACCCGAAGGACAGCCCCGCAATACCGTACCCCCCCCGGTCATGCTATGGATTTAAAATTATGAACCCATGGGTAAATGGGCATATGTTATGGGTTTTCATGATCGCCCTGGGGGGTCCGGACATATGTTACTGGATTCAGGACCCTCCATACGCCCGCTGGAAGCCATATGCTAGGGGGTTTTCCCTTCGCCTATGCTCTCCCCCCGGCAGTCGAAAGGCGGGTGCAAACTCTGAGATCGACCCCTAGAACTCGGGATATATTCACTCAGTGATAGGTTTTCTCAGAATGTAATAAAGTTGATAAGTTAACCCGTTATATGGGCATAAACAGTTAGGGTTCAGGTTCGGGTGACAGTCATACACACTACTATATGAAGAGTCACAAAGTAAGCGGTGTGACCTTTCGCTTTCCAGCAAAAGTTTTGCTGCAGGCCAAAAACTCTGCATGAAACCCGAAAACGCGGAAATGCTTCCAAATTGACATTCGAAGGGCATCGGATGGTAGAGATCAATTATTTCTCGATGTCGCATAGCACGGACGGCTGTGGGCGCGTGCGTCCGGAAGCGGCCGCGCCGCGTTACATAGTGCGGATGTCATCGATGTCATCGTCGTCGTTGGCCACCATCGCCAGCGCCACGTCCGTTTCTCCGATAGGGTTGATATGCATGGTCGTGCAATCGAACCGCGTAGATGTCCGTGGGGTCACCTTGGCTCCGATCCCCTTGCATCCGATCCCCTGTCGCTGTCGCCTGTGACTCGGTGTGACTGAGACTCTGTGACACCCAATCGTGGATCTTCTTGTTCTAGTCGATTACCTCGATTAGTCGATTTATAGCATCTCGATTTCTCGGAACGTCCAATGATGCGATGGGTAGCGATCTCCCCTCGCCTGGCCTCGCCTGCAAATCGAAATGACCTCATCGCTGTGTCACGCTCACGTGTCACGGCAGCGGCATCGGCAGCGCCATCGCCAGCGCAGCGGCACACTCGACTGAGACTTGTGTCACTTGAAGTTCAACCTGCGAACGTTTGTTTCCTTTTTTAGCGTGTAAGCTGTAACGTAAAAAAATGCATCTGTGGATATAAAAATACATCTTTATACCCTCTCGTTTGATTGACCGTAAGATGCACACAAACTCCCATGATAAAATTCATCCCACGATCTCAAGATAATATCACCCTCCTGTGTCGTCGCGTCGCCCTTCGCCTGTCGATGTCGCTGTCGGATGTCGTCCTGTCGAT